AAGCCTAGCTTATGGAGACAATCATTTTTGTATAATGCCATATTATAATAAGTATAAATATTTGTATTAATTTACATGTATGTATACATTTCTATTTTTAAATGAAAATAAATAAATAGGTAAATAATATTTTTACTGAATGTTGAGGAATTGAGGTATTAAAGTAAATATTTGAAAATAGCGATGTAACATAAAGTTTTTGACAGATTCAAATCAATAATTAATTACAAATCTTTTCCGAAACATTTATCAACCAGTAGGATATAGTGTTATACACAAAATTACTTAATTTATCGGAAAAAAAAAATTATATTGCGTGTAATTGCCGTGGTTGTGCTTGATTTTGTGACATATACATTGTATAAATGTTCTTATAGAAATTACACTTTCGATAAACGTGTACACACACAACTTTACCATAGCTCATACGTGGGTTTCGTGGGTACACTATATTCCAGCGTTTCTCAAACTATATTGCACTAAGAAAATCTATCTATTTTATATACATAGTAATTGTGAATTAAACGCTCAAACAATTATAAATTTTTAGTTTGTACTGTTCATAAAGAAATAATATTCCATACATGAAAAATAACGTTTAAATTGTTGATAAATAACAAAAAATCTTATTTGGTTAAGTAGTACTTATACGAACATTTTCAAACTATATAGATGGTACACATACACAAAAGGTTGAGAACCATTGCTCTATTCATATTAGCCCACATTAAAATCCTTAAAAACGAACCACTATCACAAAACAGCGATTTCACCATGTGCATCAAGTTTTAATATTACAGTAAATAATTAATATTTATAACAATATAAACGTACTGTTGGTACTTCATTCGTATCTTGATAAGAACATAGGGTTAAAAAAGCTGATTCCAATGAATCTGCTTCATATTTGGAAATAATGTCCTGAGGTGCTCCTTCTTCTACTAGTACTCCATTTCTCATTAAACCAATCTATAACGGTAAACATTAAAAAATTAAGTAAATGATAAATTAAGTTATTTTTTATAATTATATACGAGTACATTTATATACGTAATAAAACACTGTAATAGAGATTAATCAAACTATTATACATAAGTTATAAAACACAGTTATAGTACCTCTTCTAAATTGTTTGTAAAAAATGTATTTCGTCATTTTAAACATTTCAATGRTCACTCTATAAAATGTATTGACTGCTAAATATTAAATGCCTAACACATTCAWTATTTGACAGTTGGGCTTAAAGATAAAACAATTCATGATTCTTGGGTTACATTTTATTAATTTATTAATACTAATTTTATTTTAAACTACGTACGATACGTATAATGTTTGATTGTTATCTACTGTAAGTTCTATTTTGGCTGATTAAGTACAGTATACGATATTATGATTCTCTATGATACATCATAACAGGGGTGTACTCAGGAATTATTCAAAGTTTGAGTCCAAAATTTTTAATATGTAAATGTATAAGCTTATGAGAGCAGGAGARTCCGATAAAGTGAGAATATTGTAGTGGTGACCGGAGTATGTACAGCCATATTCTTTTTGGATCATAGATTTAGTGATTTTCACCTTAAGAATTTTAAATTCTACCAATCTATGGGGGTACAGACCCCGACCCCTTCTCCTCTCCTTGATTACGCCCTTGACTCATAATAGTTGATATTGAGAGATAATACTATACTTAGTTAAGACTTGTTTCATTATTAAATAGATACAACTATAGGTATAAGCTAGTATTGTGTAAGTTAATAATTAATAAGAGGATGCTTCATCTGCACGTGTTGTCATAATTGTATAAGCAAACAACACAGCAATTTTCGACCAGAAAAACYGACCARAAGTGATACTGTAATCAATTGACCTATAATAAATCTCTCTTAAACAAATTAGATTATCTTGAGTAGTAAAAACTACGTCTCAAAGTATTAGGTTAAATCTAACCATCTTAAAATATTCATATTAGATGACCATGCTAAAACCAATACTAACAGAAAAAATGACTACTTCAACCAAATCATCTATTTTGATATTGAAGCATGATTGTAGGTACTGTTATATAAATAGTGTATTTGGTTTTATTTAATCCGTATTATACATTTATAATTTAATACAYGATATAAGACATATTTGCATWAACTCATAAAAATATTAACAACGATATGGAGACTTACACAATTAGCTAAATTTGCTTCTTCGATATAATGAGTAGTTATTATGATTGTTTTCTGTTGTTCAACRACCATCTTTAGAAGCCCATCCCAAATTCTAGAACATATTTTATATAAATTTTAATGAACTTATCTTATTTTCTTTCAATTATTTACTCTTGTCTTAGTAAAGGATCAATTCCAACTGTAGGTTCATCCAGTATAATAAGCTTAGGATTATGCAATAAGCAAACACCAAGAGATACTCTTCTACTTTGGCCACCACTAAAAGGAAAGAATATAAAATTAAAATAAATGATAGTTATAAATTAACATTATAGCTAAATATGATATTAGCATTGTAAAAATACATGGTGTGTTGACATAATTAAGATAATATATTAAAAAATAATGATATTATTTTCTATATTTTATCTGTGCTGAATTGTAATTAATATTTAACATATTATTATTCAACTTWAATACTGGAAACAAATTTCAACAATTTTCGCTATTTTATATGCTATAAAGATATAYTATTGAAMAATTTATAAAGAGTAGGTAATATTAAATATTAATAGCTTACTATATTTACTAAATATAAAGTAATGTGTACCTTATATCTTTAATCATACTATTCAAATTTGGTAACTGTAAGAATGCAACAAGCTCATCTTTTTTGATCTCAATGTCTTTTTTGCTCATATTATAGAGTGTTCCATAGTATTCAAAGGTTTCTTTTATAGTAAGYGTGGTTTCCAAACATATACTCTTCAAAAGAACTAAGTGTTAAAATCTAAAAAAATCAATCCTTCAAATTTCATATTTACTTGAGGCATATAGCCCACGTCTTTTAAATGTATTGCTTTCAATTCAATACATCCTGAATCCAATTCCATTGATCCCATTATACATTGAAGAAGCGTCGATTTACCACATCCACTAGGCCCCAAAAGGCCATATCTGTCAAAAAATTGATTTAATATCAAAAGGTTTTTATTTTAATAAAATAAAGTTTCCAAACCTGTGGAGAACCTCTAACAGTTAAGAACCTCATTGCGTACTGTCGAACCCACATGTAAACTAGAAAAAACCTAAAAATGCCAGACAACCTCTTATTTAAAGTCCTCAGCCCAATTGAAGACAACATCAATAAAACCATCTCATTTTTCAAACAAAGTGTTAAGTAAAACTTAATATAGAAAAACCATTGTATTTATCCATATGTATCATTAATATCAAATATTATGTAAGCTAATAATTTAAGTTCTTAAAGTTGTGCCAAGAATAAGAAATACGAATCCAAAAGAGATAGGGAATAGCTTACAGGCCAACAAGTCAGGGACAAGTAGAAAGACAAAATCAGGTGATAATAGATATGATAGCACCATACGTTGCAGAAGGTGAAAAATGGATAGATGTTTTAMCTATTGTATTGCATGCATATAACACAGCCGTACACCATTCAACGGGATATACTCCTTTTTATTTAGTACATGGCTACAAGCCAGTTTCAATTTTATATATCGAAATTATTCCATCAAATTTAAATCATTCCACAATTATTGTGGAAATACAAATATTAAATTCAATACGTGATAAATCACCCGATATTTTACAGAAAGCGTTTGACAAGCATRTTTAACATGGACAGAGGTAAAAGGGAACAGGATTTTTATGTACGAGAAAAAGTTTTAGTAAAAATGAATGTAAGAAAAACAATAATAACCTTATATTAAAGAAAATGAATCCAGTTACATATTTGATTGAAATAGATAAAAATGCATAAAACAAGTCAAGAAAAAACATATTCAACAAATAAAAAAATATAGAGATCAACCGCATATAAAAGCGTGTACTATTATAGTTAAAAATAATAATTTGACAAACATTGGTGATATATATTAGAATAGTTCCTTTTTTTATGTAGATATATATTTGAATATAGAACAGCACAGCAAAAATGTATTAGAGTGATTATTATTCTTAATCAATTTAATTAAACATAAAAAAAATTATATAATAGTATAATAATATTATAGCCGTGAAACCACTATAACATATTTAACAACTTCTTAATTTCTTAATATGGTTATGCAATATAAACGAAATTTCCTCGTTCTGAATACGCTAAAAAAAAAAAAAACTATCGATTTTGTTGAAAAACTAGTTTTGCGTAAAACCTCTTGTTTTATTTTAATTTTTTTTTTGTTGTTGTTGTTCATAATTATTTCATGAATGTCTATTAACCATTATATACCTATGGGCTATGGTATTTATTAATATTTTTATATGGTCCATAATCATACAGTTGATATTTGTATATCTATGTATTACGTTTAATACTGCTAAGATATAATTACAATAACAACTCCATCATTGCAAAATCGATTTTTTTAGACTTAAACTCAACTTATCAAACGAGTTTTTAACATGTTTTATTCTAACAAACGTATTCATTTAATTCAAATAAAATATTACTTGTTTTGTTATATTAAATTATGTATTCATTAGAACCGAATAATTACAATAGCTATTTATCTACGTTTACACTTCAWTRAAATACCATTCTAGTATATTGATCAAACTAAGAGGCTTTATAYAAATCACTGTCTAGAGTTGTTAAGACGTGAATACTCTAATTTTACTGAAATTTATTGTTTAGGTATTTTATTTTGTGGACCAATATGGACAAATAAATATTGAAGCACTGCAAAAATATAGTTATAAACACATAATTTTACTTTGCAACATTTATAAAAATATCAATTTAATTTAGATGATATATAATATTCATTAAAATACAAACATAAAGCTTAATTTTCTGAAAATAATAAATACATTTTTTTTACAAGTCTATACAACTGTACAACTTGTAATATATTGTTAARAAAATACGCATAATATAATGTATATTTATGTGAGATACGCTAATTCTTTACCCGACTGCCTGAATTCAGAGATAAGGTTAGATGCATCTTAATATACAAAGACCATTAAAATAATTACGTAATCGAAAATTTTGAATCTTCATTGAAAAAATAKTAAAGACAAGCGATTTTAGATATTACGGACATAGAATTAATTTGAAAGAAATACAAAWTAAGACGTATAAAAATGTTGTMATTTTATAATTAATAATCTTAAAAATCAAAATCACACTGAATATCAAAATAAATATAAAATATTGTAACGGTGTGAATTATTTAATACTTCTTAAAATATATATTGTATTTTTAGCTGAAATACTTATTAAAATCAAATCTATATTTTTTTTTAGTTGGAAAAAATGTTTATTTTTTTCAAGCATATTTTTTTTTTTTTTGTAAGAGAATCCCGTGGCAACATAGAGCATTGGGTGTGGGGTGGTACGGTAGGGGTTATTTTTGTGTGCTTGTTTGAAGGTTTTTAAATGGGTAGGGTTGTAACACGTGTTTGTGTATGTGTGGCAAGAATATTTTGCTAAAAATCCCGGGTGGTCATCCATCCGGGAGCTAGCAACTGCGGCTGGTACGTACGCTCAGTGTGTTTCCGCAGATTGAGCATACGGCCGTGCCTCACCAAGCCAGTTTCAAGCATATTTTAACTGTATAAATAAGGTTTTAAATTTCAATAAAATGTGCTTAATTTTAAACCTAAGAGAAAAGCAACAAGTTAAAATATTGAATATAATATTGCTATCACATATTATGAGAAATAGTTCTGATCAAATATAGCCACAAACGTTAGGTTTTTAAAACCCGCAATGTTTTTTATTATTTTATCGTTAGGTAGGTATTAATTTCTACTTCACTCAATATAGCTTCATGATTTTTTTAATTCTTAACAATTTGCCCTAATTTATCCAATAATTAGAATTTTCAATTTCATGATAAATATAAATTAAGTTAAATTAAATTTAGAAATAAAATGTATAGAAAATATCAATAAATCAAATCTCAATTCAGTAGTCAGTACTAAACTTTTAAATAATCCATGACCACTGAACATACTCGTATTGTCTAATATTGTCCTATGTACCAATTGAACCTTCTATACCATAATATCATATTATTTACTATTTATTTATATTTATACATGTTATGTTAAAACACTTAAAACCATTATAAAATCAAATAATTTCAGAAGCTTACAACTCATCATTGTTCCTTATTTATGAAGGTATTTAAAATAGAGGYATATAAAATCTACAAATTCAGTCTTACATTTTAGTATAGCAACCTATTTTAATTATATATTCTATATTACATATTTCAAAACGATTACTTTATCATTAATAATTAAAAACAATAATACCTAAACATGAATATCATTATGCCTCTAATAAAAATTTAAACGAATTAAAAATAAATAAATAAATAATTATCATTCAAATATAATAACTTACATGGAACCTGACTTCACATTCATGTTCAAACCATTAAATACCTTATTTCTTCTATAACTCTTGAATGCATTTACAACTTTTACACCGTATACTATGTCGTTGTCAGTCATATTCTGTTTTTTTTTTTAAACTTATTGAGATGATATTTTATCATAAAAATGAATGCAATTAACGATAGTTGTTTAAATTACGTAGGTCATATATGTAGATATTCACTTAAAACTAAATAGAGTACAAAATTAAATCACAAAGGCTTGGATATTGATATCTTATACCGGTCACAGACTGTATATAAATAAACGATATTTAAAACATGTACCATACATCAGCGATATGTTAAAACATAAATTGTCTGGGTAGTACATATAAAAAAAATAATGGAATCTTTGCATCTGTAAGATACAATATCTTGGTGTCCTTGTAGAATGATACTAGTTTTATCGAAAACCGGAGATCTTTATTCTGCTGTTGCATTCAACATCTAAAAAGTGTGTAGATAAAAAAAATATAAATTTCGTGCTATATTTTTTAAATGAAACTTATGAGGAACTTAACATTAAGTTTTCAAGCTTTTTGACCAAGCAAAAATATTTTCGATAACATATATAAAAAACAATCACACCAAAAAAATTGAAAAGTTTATAAATAGATCAGACCAATACAATATATGTTGATGGTATTATCATGTACCTATATAAAATCTTAATTTAAACATTTAATTAAAATTGCATGATGTTATTTTGTTATTGAGCTACGCCAATAAAAACAATATCGATTATGCCACAAATTGATTTTAGGTGTTAACAAAATTGAAGTGGAGACTAACTCAAAAAAAGCTAGTAAGTGTGTAACATTCTGCTTAYAATAGATTATAGATATTTAGAGAGCCGCTATAATGAATGTATTAAATTTAATGAAATTAAATCATTATATGTATGAAAGATGATTCTGAGCGAAGACGGCCGGACTGCCTATAATATTACTAAGCACGTATATTTTATAATATTGTGATTAAACTCATCAAAGTAATTAATTCGAGTATAAGGCATAAATATTATTACAGTAGGTTAAATTAGTTTTTGTTGAAAAAATTGTATATAAAAATGTCATTGTAAATAATATTTTTAATTATAACAAAATAACTAAAATCGTTATTCTTGGTTTTAATATGTAATTTCGTACAAATTTGTACTTAAAATAACTATTAAAAAACTGTGTTTATATATTTTTTATTTTTTTCGGTTATCTCCAATTAAAACTATACAAATTGAACATTTTATAAATGTTTAAATACGACATAATTTATAAATTTTCAAGCTTTTCAACGAATAAAATACAATTTAATTGACATGATTAAAAATAATCTAAAATACATTAAAAATTTCTGTAAATAGTTTAGAACGAGTTAAAATATTTTGAAAATTATATCAAGTATAGTAAATGATAAAATAAAAATTTGGTATAAATTTAAAGTTTATATTATATCAGGATATTCGTTTTTTGTATTAAAACAAAATAAGAACACTCCACTTGGAGGCACAACATTATAGTAAAACTTAACAAAATAATATGCAAAGGTAATTTTTTAAACTTAATTACCAATTTCCTAGAAAGACGTACATTCAGAGTTAGAGCACACAATCTCCTTTCAAATAAGTTCATTCAAGAAAACGGTGTTCTTTAAGGTTCGGCTCTCTCAGTTTCTCTCTTCCTAGTCGCCATTAATGATATTGCTGAAAACTGTTTGCTCCCTGTTAAATTCAATATATACGCTGATGATTTCAACTTCTGGTGCACAAGCAAATGCAAAAACACAGTCCAAAGACTGCTCCAAACAGCAGCTACTAATTTAGATAACTGGGCTAAAAAAACTGGTTTYYAATTCTCACCTGAAAAATCCAGCTGTACTATATTCACAAAAAAAAGAATGCTTATGATTTAAAAATAACAATTAATAGAACCGAAGTCGCCTACAGTAACTCTGCAAAAATGCTTGGCGTCATCTTCGATAGACGTTTATTGTGGTCTCCATACATAAAGCATTTAAAAACTCTATGAGTAATTCAGTTAAAGTTTTAAAAATACTCTCTCATACCACATTGGGTGGGGAAACAAACTCACTAATTAAAATCCATAAAACATTAATCCGGTCTAAACTTAACTATGGATCATTACTCTATACTATAGAGTCTATAGAACAGCATCCAAATCCCTACTAAAGTGGTTGGACAGCGTTAATAACTGTGGCCTGAGACTGGCTTTGGAGCCTTTCGCAGCAACCCCGTACTCAGTATATATAACATCGCCGGCGAAACCACTCCCGAAATAAAAATACTGGAACTATACCTCAAATATGCAGCTAGATCCGCAAAATCAAACAGCACCTCCACGAAAAAAATAACCACCTCTTCATAAAAGAGACGGGAGACTGCAACTTAGACATTTCGCAAATCATAACCAAAGAAAAAAACTTCCAACCTCCGTGGGCCAACACATACCCAATCAATACTGAACTCAGTTATCTGCCCAAACATCAAAACTCTCCCTATATTTTCAAAAACTTCCTTAAAAGCATTATAGATAACTACAAAGACTTCCAGGAAGTATACACCGATGGCTCAAAAACCAATGAAGGAGTAGGATTTTCGATAATATTTCCTAATAAAAAAATATTGCACAAACTACCTAATATTTGCTCCATATTCACAGCCGAAATTATCGCCATCCTAATAGCTACTGAGATTATTATCCAAGAAGCCCACTCCAAATTCRTCATCCTCAGCGATTCACTAAGTTCGATAAAAAGCTTACAAAACCAATTCAACCCCTGCGACATTGCAACTAAAATCCAGAACAATCTCAACAAAGCTTCCATTTTGGGTAAAGAAATCACCATCATGTGGATACCTGTCCACTCGGGAATAAGAGGCAATGAATTAGCCGATGAACAAGCCTCTTTAGCATTAACAACAACGAAACTTTGCTAATTAACCAAATGTCATATGCTGACTCAAAAAAAATCATAAACGAATATACTATGAATAAATGGCAAAGACTCTAGAACTTACAAAACACTAAATTAAACGAAATTAAAAGAGACATCCGCCGGTGGACGAACCCAAAACTCACCCGGAAAGAAGAGACGGTCCTTAACCGACTTCGCATAGGACACACCAGAATCACCCATGGTTTCCTTATGGAAAAAGAGGATCCCCCTATTTGTCTAACCTGTGGTACTGCATTAACAGTAAAACATATAATAACCGACTGTCTAATATACAACCAAGAACGCACCGAACATAAAATATCATTCAACCTCGACTCCACACTCGGACCTATTCATGATAAAACCCTAGATATAATTCATTTTTTAAGAAAAACAAAATTGTTCAATTTTATATAAAAAAAAATGTTTTATCCAAATTAATAACTTTCCATTGTATCAATATAGGTATATTATATTATATAATTACTGTATAAATAAGTGTAACTAATGGCTTTTGTTGTCGATGTAAAAAATATGCTCAATAAAAAAAAATAAAAATAAGAACATTATTCCATAAGAAATTGAATGAATATCCTTCGTGTTGAAAATTTAAAATTCAAACGCTCAAAAAAAAAATTCATTAGTCTTTCCAATATGCATTTTTTTTTTTTATTAGTGTAAACAAATGTATAAATTATCTTATACCCATTATACATTCAAATCTATGATATAAAAATTAAATTTTATAAGTTTCTAACTCAGAATATTTTACAAATTTTCGTGATTTTAATGAATCATTTTCAAAATCCTAATTGACGCTCATAAAAAAAATTGTGATTTATACTTCACTTTTTTTTTAATTTCCACTTGCAAAACATTAATATGAACCTTATATTATTTTTTCAAGTTTTGAACCAAACGAAAACTTCAATTAATTTTTAAAAAAAAACTAATAAATCGCATGTCTACAAATACCTCAACATGAATTTAAATATTTTGATGATTGTATGTTAATGAAAATTGAATGTTACCTACGGTAATTTTAGTAAATACCACATCAAAAATCAAATAAGTACAATTTTTTCGCAAACCGTTTTTGCGCGAAAATTCCCGTTACTTTTGAAGACTACCTACTGGGAATTTCAAATTTTGATCACTAGAATGCACAACTAGACTTTACCATAGGAATAGAAACTGAAAATGAAAATTGAAGCATTATTTAGACTACTTATCGTGTGCATAAAGACAAAAGTAAAAAAAAGTTTTAAAAACTACATCATTGTAAAATCAATACATTCATTGCTCCGCTCAAAATATAAATCAGCTTATAAATAAGCTATGAGTCATAGTTCTATAATATTATATTATATTAAAACTATTAAAACAACTAAATATTCATCAAACAACATCATTGAAGCATTAACTTCTGATGGAAATATATTTTTAATTCAGCCCAAATGTATAAATTGTACAAGAGTATTTAAGGTAAATACTTAAAAGGAAGTCTTTTACTAACATTTTCTAATATTCATATACCTACAAAACATATACAATTTACAACAGAGATATTTTCATAACATTTAATATTACAATAAAAACACAATTGGTTCATTTAAAATGAATAAATAATTAAAACAAATTTGTACAATTTGTAACAAAACAGTGTATTGCGTTATACGTAATTATATGATTGTAGTGGGTATCCATATATTCTTACTAAAGTAATAGGAAAAAATAATTTTTCAAACAAATTAGATATTTCCAGTTTAAACAGTAATAATGACAATATCATTCAAACCACAAGTTATGGCTACTAATTAACCGACTGTATTATGGGACTCATATAATGTATACTTTACGTTATTACATATTTCAATTATACTATTGATATTAGAAGGTAATGMAAATCACAAAACAATACCCATCAGCTTACTTAATAATAAACAATGTGTAGAAATCGAAAATATATGATACAATTTAATGAACATATTAATTTATTAGAAAACCAATATTTATTATTTAAAAACTAGTTAATTATTATAATTTTCTGTACATTTAGAAATTGATTGGCATTGTAATTTGTAAAATGCTTACAATTCAGCCTTGTAATTTGCAATAGCATTAATATTTGAAAACAAGTATATATTACCTATTCACAATATAAAAACAGAAATGAGCCAAGTTGTATTTAATTTAATTGATTTAATGCGCTTTATAGAAACGATAATAAAAGTGACCTTGTAAACTTTTATGTCAAAATCTATAAATTAAAAAAAAAACTTATAGATTATTTGTAAAAAAGAAAATACTCCTTTAAGGCGACGGATATTTTATACGTGAT